AGATATATAGTTACATTCTCTTAATGAATAGAGGGATTTGTTCTAATGGTGTTTGTAAATAGGATATCAAGTCCTCATCTTGTACAGCAATTTAATAGGGTTTTGTATGGCTTGTTTCTTATGAAAAAATTTTTGGTCTTTCAGAAACATTTTATCCATTTTTTTACCAGACTACTTCTCAATATTACTAAACATTTTTTGACTAAATCCTGTATTCTCATGACTGGTCTTTACATTGTGTGAGTGAAAGATAATATGTAAATTAAGGATTTTAAAATGGATTGCTGGTCAACCCTGTAGGCTGATGATGAAATCAATAATGATAAATATTGGGAAGACACCCTTGTAGAAGTACAGGAAATGTTATTTGCTGACTGATTCTGTCATCTTTTTGTGTGACTATTTAGGTATGAACAGTAATGGCCTCTATTTCACTTCCGAGTTCCTTGGTAGACCATGGATTGGATGAACTGTATCCGTCTCCATCATGATGTGCAACACCAAGTCTTGTCACTAGTAGGTATATTTATTCAATTTTATTTGTATAGTTATAGAGAAATTTTCAAAAAAGGATCACTTTACAATTGTAATTATGTAAAAGACATGTATTCATGTACTGATCTAAAGTGTGGGTGAAAGGAGAATTCAGGATTTAACTTTTTTTTATTTTGGCAGAACCGGGGATTGAACTCAGGCCCTTGCACTTGCCAGGGAAGCGCTTATTCCACTGAGCCATAAGAGGAATGAAAATGGGGAAAGAGGCCGAGGTGGGGAGGCCACTGGGGAGGGGATTAGAAACAACAAGCTGTGTTGTATACCTGTGTCTACTCCCCAAAATGAATGTAAACTTTATGTGCTGCAAACATGTGCTAATACAGTAAAATAATAAAAATGAAAAGAAAATGGGTCAAAAAAAATGAAAATAAAATAAAATAAAATGTGGGTGAAAAGGCTGGCCAAATAGCTCAGTGGGTTAAAGTGCTCACAAGCAGGCTCAGGGCCTGGGGGATTCGATCCTCAGATCTGCCATGCCAGCCCTGCCCCTGGGGCACACTGAGAGGGCAACTGAGACTGGGCATGATGGTGTGCACCTGGAATCCCAGCTCCTGGGAGGCTGTAACCAGGCGGATCACTACGAGTCCGATCTAGTAGTAAGACCCTGAACACCCTGTAGACTCTTCCCTAAAAAATATAAAAAATAAAATGTGGGTGAAATTTGTCTTTTTGTATCAGCTATAAAGTGGAGATACATGGTGAAATGTGTTTTGCATAAATATATATTAATAAAGTGGTATATGTGTCTCTATATGGACAGAATTTAAAGTGTATAATTTTAACTTTCTTTTTAACTGGATAAAGAAGTCACTGGACACTTTCAATGTCTTCTGATTCTTTAATATTATATAAATCTACTATCAATGTGAGTCTGAAAAACTTTCATCTAGTTTCATACTTTGAAACATTCTTGTTTCATTGTCATTTTACCTGACAGGGCATTTGATATGTTTCCACTCACATATCACATTGCTAACTGATTTGTGTTTATGGTGTCAGGACAAAGAGAATTATACCTATAAGATTTTCGCTTAGTTCCAGTTTCAACTTTCTTCATGTGATTAGTCTTTTATCAGAGGCATTAGTTTTCTCATCTTAAAAGTGAGAGGAATAATTTCTGACTTATCTTAATTTGTAAGATTACTCTGAAGGTCAAATGAAGATTTGGCATTATTGGCTATCAGGCAATGGAGCTAGTTTTCAAGTTCCTTTCTAGACATTGAATGTGATATTCACTCAAGGAGCAACTTTCTATTACATGAATAAAATGTTTGCATACAAATGAAAACATTTTAACCGATGACATATATTCACTTTCTGATCTTGTAGCTTTGTGCTTTCCTATGCCCAGTCTACAGACAAACTTCCTGAGATTGTAATAGTTGTTAAGCTTTGCAAAGTGCCTTATGTCTGGCGTTTTAGGTTTCTCATCTGTAGAATGGGGCTAGTAATAATGGATCATATATAATCTGCAGGGTACCTTAACAGGGTCATGTGTTTCGCCGTGCCAAGCTACCCTTAGTATGCTATGGTACAGTTACCTGGGGAGCAGGAGATTATCATGAGCATATTTTGAAATCAAAAACCTCCTGGTACAAAGCCATCACTAGTTAATTGGGGAACCTAGAATTCTCATTCGTACTTCTAAATTTTCTGAGAAAGAAAGTAGAAATAATTATGATATTGTCCATACTGCTTTTGTTTAGAGAATTTGCGCAACCTTTGAGAAAGAATATTTGCTGTCACTTTCACTAGGAGTTGTAAAAAGTACAATTACAATTCATTATCTAATGTGATTTTCCAGTAACATAACCTCTGAGTTTGAAATTATTCTTGCCTTATTTTACATTTAGGGAACATTTAGGGATATGCCCAATTATAAGATTATGTTTTTTAGGTTCAGAATTTCCTAAAAAGAGGGGCTGGGGAGATGACTCAGTGGAATAAGCACTTCCCTGGCAAGCTCAAGGGCCTGAGTTCAATCCCCGTTCGGCCAAAAAAAAAAAAAAAAAAAAAGAATTCCACAAAAAGAGACAAACAAATAGCTCAAGTTGAGAAACATAAATATAACTTGAATCTAGCATACTCATTAAAAAATAAAAATGAGAAAATCATATTGTCTATCTAAAATCTATCAGGGAAGATCAGATCTGTGCTTAATTTGTTATGAGGTTTATGCTGTTGCCATATTTAATATAATTTTCTCTTTTCAAGAAAGGGACCAACATAGAAGGGATGTGGAAAGGTAAACTATGTATCACAGAGTGGCAGAGACTAAGGGTTTTACATAATCACATTATCCAACATTGTTCAGCACAATCACATGATCAACACTGGATTCAAGTCTTGTCCTATTATTAATCAATTTAAGACATTGTCTTTGGGGTTTGTATTGGACAAAATGAAGTGGTTTTAATGGGTGAATGGCATTTTTCCTGCATTTTTCTAAATGAGTCACGGCTTTTTCTCCAAGGTGGGAAGCACTGATAATTGGAGCAGCAGTTGGAGCCAGGAGTGTGCACAGGTGCTTTGCCTTTATCTCTCTAGACCAGTGAGACCTGGCTGACACACCTCACTGGGATCCGAAAGCCAGGCCTGGTTCCTTCACACGTTCATTGTAAACCATAGGTGTGAGGCAGACTGACTTGGAGATGTGTTCCTAGTAAGACATTATGCACCATGGACATGGGGGCAAGCCTGCATACTGAGTGGCTGTGCTTGTGGAGCAGATACGTCTCTGGTCCTGGTTTTTGTTGTTGTTGTCGTTGTTGTTGTTGTTGTTGTTTTGGTTTTTTTCAGAACTGGGGATTGAACTCAGGCTCTGGCACTTGTCAGGCAAGCACTTATTCTACTGAGCTATCTCCCCAGTCCCTCTGGTCCTGTTTGTCCAGGATCTGCCCCCCTCCCTACTTCTAGCACCTCAATATTCTCAGCATGCATATTTGAAGTCTCACATTGGGATTAGAATGCAATAAAAAATTTTAAAAGTTAAAAATTAAAAATAAAAAAACAACACATGCTACACCAGCCCTAGCCCAGGTCACGCTGAGCTGGCCACTGAGACTGTAATCCCAGAGCTAGGGAGGCTGAAAACAGGAGGATCACTATGAGCCCAAGCTGCTGAGTGGGACCCTGTACCAAATACAAAAGAGAGAGAGAGAGAGAGAGAGAGAGAGAGAGAGAGAGAGAGAGAGGCCATTGGAGAGAGAGCCCCACTGAAGGACAGATTTTTATGGATTCTTATTTTCAGCAATTTTTTGCTTTTATTTTCAGAATTTTCCTGATCATTGTATATTTCTGATGCTTGCCTTAAAAATTATTTCTGACTTTAGAATTCTTCTTCCGCAGAAGACAAGTTAAATCAGTTATTAATCAAATATTTCTTAGAAAATCATCTCCAAACACTAAAGAAGAGTGAAATGTTTCACTCAGCATCATAGAGTATGATGAAGACATTAGGTCTTCAGACCTGAAGTCTGATATAAATTAGACATAAAAGATAGGGGAAATCCTTATCAATGTGATTTTAAGAGTTGATATGCTGTATTAACACAGAAGTTTAAGCACAGCATGAACATGAAAAGGAGAAAGAAAGAAATAACCTTGGGAACAAGTTTATGGCAGGACAAGCCAAAGATGAGTCCTTTAATAATGTGAGTTCCTGGGGCCAGCCAAATAGCTCAACAGATTGAAGTACCTGCCAGCAGGCCCCGGAGCCAGGGGTTCGATACCCAGGTCTGCTGTGCCAGCCCCGCCCCCGGGGCGCAAGGAGAGGGCAATTGAGACTGGACGTGGTGGCGTGCACCTGTAATCCCAATTCTTGGGAGGCTGCAAACAGGCAGATCACTACAAGTGTGATCTAGTAGTGAGACCCTGAACACCCTGTAGACCCTTCCCTAAAATACAAAAATAAATAATAATAATGTGAGTTCCTGATGAAAAATGCCTGCCATAGAATCAATGAACTATTGACACCAAAGGACAGTGTGTGAGGCTCTCTCTCCTATGTCTGCTGCAGGCTGCCTCTGGCCAAAGCCCACTAGAAGCAGCTTGTACCTGTCAGGACCTGAAGGGCATGACTGTGCATGCTAACCATCCATCAAACTCTTGTTCATCTTCCAAACTCAGTTCACCTGCTTGTCTTCTCTGAAAATGTCCTTAATCTTCCTCTTACATCTGACTCTCCTCCCCTTTTTTCACTTGTACCCTGTGTGCCTTTGACCATACACAATTATATTGAAATGACTGACTTATGAGTCCACCTGCCCCACTCCCCTGTCAGTTTGCTGAAGGCAATACAGTTTTATTCATTATTGCTTTTCCAGTGTCTTTCAATAAATAATTACTCATTAAATTAATTACTGAAATGATTAATGACAACACATATCCTTAGACTGAACAAGAAATAGTTGCATTTACCATGATAAAAGATTCCTATAAAATGTCAATCAATATGGATATTGTCTTCTAAATGTTATTAATAGAAACCTGTCAAATGTATAATTAGAAAAAATGAGAAGTGCTATTAACCTACCACAATGTTTATATCATTTTAAAATTTTAGCAAAATATAGTGAGAACCTTGAAGGTCTATAGCGTGCTCTGCTATCTTATTAGTGATTCATTAACTATAATGTGTCTTGAAATGGCACTTCAACAACGATAAGACATTATTTGGCCAGAAGTGAGTGTGCACAACCAGAATCCCAGCACCCTGGAGGCTGAGGTGAGAGGACTGCGGTGAGTACAAGGCCAGCTTGGGCTACATGGTGAGTTCAAGGTCAGTCAACCACAGAGCAAGATCCTGTTTCCAAAAAAAATGAAAGAAATCAGGTGACCTCTTGTTTGTCAAGGATAGAATGACTTTCTACAAATGACTGTATAAGAAAAAAAAAGAAATAATAGTCAAGATTTTTATTACAATGACTACCTGAGTTCATCTTAAGCTATAAGTACACAAA